GTGTGTGTGTGTGTGTGTGTGTGTGTGTGTGTGTGTGTGTGTGTTGAGGAGAGGGGGAATGAAAAAAAAATCAATCCTCATTCTCCACCACAACCTTTCATGTGGAGAAGAAAATTATCCTACTTGGGGTCCTTTTTTCTTTTCAGATCCACTAAATGCATTTTATTAGAGTAAAGACAGGTGTTACAGAGTTAGAAATTTACTCCTTTTCTAATGAAAACTTGACTTTCAAACTGGGGAAGGGAAGGTATTGAGGGCTTTGTCATTCCCAATGGCCCTCTGTGACAAAAATTGTCTTAGCAATTTTACAGCACAGTTTTTAATGTTTGATCTAACTCTGATTGTAATAAATATTGATAACATCTCACCAGATGATGTGTACTTTCAGCTCCCATTATTTCACCCACACCAGTACTAGACACAAGTTACTCACATTTGAGTGATACCAGTGAAAATCAGCATAAGAAAGATCAGCGTAAGGCCTGTTTCTGTTATACTATAATTGTGTATTTCACATGCTTTGTAATGAATGAAATAAACTCATTATTGTTCAGGAGGGACTTGCAGTATGTTGCACAAATGTAATAGCAAATTAATATTATAGAGGGCATAGTCTGTAAGATAATTAAAATAACTTTGTTATTTATTTTCTGTGTTTAGACAAGATAATAATATCCTTCTCAGTTTCCATGGCAATTGGACTCGTGATTGGAGGGATAATCTGGGCTTTGTTTACTTGCTTGTCCCGTCGCAGAGCCAGTGCCCACATTTCACAGTGGAGCCCCTCAACCTCTACCCGCCGTTCCAGACCTCCTTCTCATGGTCCAGCTGCCAACAGGCCTGGATTCTACCGCAACAGCAGCTGTGAACGTCGCAGCAACCTCAGCCTGGCCAGTCTCACCTTCCAACGGCAAGCCTCTCAGGAGCAAGCCAACTCCTTCCCAAGAAAATCAAGTTTTCGAGCCTCCACTTTCCATCCCTTTTTGCAATGTCCTCCACTCCCTGTGGAAACTAACAGTCAGCTGATTACTCTGACTCCCACTAGCACCACCACTACAGTTGCGGGAAGCACCACCAACAGCTTAAGTCGACCTGAATTCCACTGGTCTAGCAACAGTCTCCGCACCTGCCATTCAACACAAACCCCTCCTCCTGCCTATGAGACCATCATAAAAGCTTTCCCAGACTCTTGAATTGGACTTTTGTTTTAAATACTTAGATATGGGTATGCATACATATCTTAGAAAGAACCTCTGCCACCCAAGACAGATTTTCTGTGCACTCAGATGATCTCTGTGAACCCTTCCTGTTGTTGTAGTATGCTGCAAAAGGGACATACATTGCTGAGATGCAGGTGACACTGATTCATTAAACAAGATGCAGTATTCTGTTGCCTCAATAAACCTTCTTCTCTAAGTTACTGCTCTGCAGTGTAGATGTGTGTTTATATTATCCTTTGAATTAGTAACGGTTGTAGGGCTTCTAATGTAGAGGGAAAATCTTCTATAGTTTAAGAAACTGGTGACTAATTGAAGAAACGAGCCAGGTTAAAAGTACTTTGTTGCTACCCATTCATTAATTTCCTTCCAGGTTCACTCTTTGTGTTTGGGTTGTTTTGGGCGTCCTGTTTTTAAACATTTTGTCTGTGAGTTTTAGATTCTCAGGCCAGGTACAGAGTGATCAGAGTGATCCACCAGTATAAGTGATCAGAAACAAATCTATACCCATAACTGAACAGAAGTTTGGCACACATGGACTGATTTAAACATAGTGGAACCTGTCTGAGCTTTGCTTCCCTCCCCCCAGCCTCCACACCAAAGGCTGAATGTGTATTCTGCTTGCTACCAATTTAAACTACGCCACTTATAGAAAACCATGTAATTTAGATTGATTCTGCCTCGGGCCTTTTGAATGTCTGTACAGAGCCTCAGTAGTTACTTTGTTTTATCCCTTACACAAAGCGCTTTATCCCTTACATCCCTTTGACCTCCTGTAGTCAAACATTCCCAGGAACCTCTGAGCAGAAACATGGTTTAAAGTCATTTTAGAGTTCCAGTTTTTTAATGGGTAATGCAAGTCCCATTTTAATGTTTGTATTGGGCTCCAAGTTACACCAAACAATTCTTGCTTACACAGAATTCTCCAAAAGAGGAATCATAAACATTTTCCAACAGGGAGTTGGAATGAACCCGCTTGGCCCTGACATGGATGAACATGAGGATCCACTGGTTTTCCATACCAGCTAGTTGTACTGCAGCACAAAAAGAGCTCCCTACCAGTGAAGGAAGTGCATCATGGTACCCAGCCATGGCGCACTGTGGGCAGAGTGCTCTGCCTCCAAAAACTGCTGAAAACATGACTCTATGTGCCAAATCCAAAGGTTCCATAGGATGGATGTGTCCTATGGGGCATAGGTTGCAACCCTTGATATGAATTGTGGCCAAAAAAGGTAAAGCATTAAAAAAATTGTGAAAAAGAGATATCTCTAACCAAGTAAAAAATTAATGACAAATTAATTAATGAAAAATAAACACTATATAGACACTTTATTCTGTAATCAGCAGAATGGGTAGTTACATTTTATTACCGTATAAGGCAACAAAGAGCAGAACCCTTGACATTTCTCTCTCAGACTTGGTCAGCAAGATAAACAGCATGAATGGCAACTATTTTTAATTAAGCTTCCTGATTTGCTATGGGAATACTCATTTCCGTTCTTTAAATTGTATTTCTCATGCTGCACAAATGTTTCATCCTTCCTGGAATACTACTCAGTGAAACACTGTATTTTGCTGAAGGGAAATGGGTTAGACAACAAGGGTAAAATTCTGGCTCTGTTAATGTCAATGGTAAAACTCTCAAGACTCAGATTTCAACATTTCTGTATTTACTTATACAACTGCTTTAGTATGTAAAGATATGAATGGGGTATTTAGAACAGATTAATGCAGACTTTGACTTTCAGGAAGGTAGAGCAATTACAACAGGTTTCCCATGGGCATAGAAGTGGCAGATTCCACTGACATGGGAGAACTTCAGGTTTTGGAGCAATGGAGAAAGCACAAACTCATTCAACTTGATCTAGGTCCTAGTAACTGCAATGAGGGATGGATAATCCCATAGTGAACAGTTTTATGTTTGAATGCCGGGAAGGGAGTTTCAACATAAAGGGTGCCAACTGCAAGAACAACACTGCTCATTCCTGGAATATTAATAACTTTAGCTCCTGTGGAGAATTGGGAAAAGAGTTATTAGTTACAGTGGGTTTGAGTTATTAGTTACAGTTCCTTAATGAGAACCAACAACTGCAGCTGTAGTCAATGGGAACAACAGGAACTCAGCAATTCTCAGGAGCAGGCAAGATGCTTATCATTCAAGATTCCTACGCTTTCTGTGGGTGTTGAGCGCACATCACCTTGCGGTGCTTAACATCTCTCATGAGTGGGCCCTGAGTCACCAGTATTGATCTTTGCACTTTAGTTTCCAAGCCTACTGTTTTCTCTTTGCAAATATCACTACTAGTTCTAAACAACCTGCCCAACTTTTTTAAAGGAAAAATATTTTGCATTCAGCATACTGTCTGCCTTTTTTAATGTGCACCTTTTTTCCTTTATAAAATTAAATCTGATTGCTAGAAACACATATCATTCATAAAGTTGTATCCAGTGTTTTGCTTCAGAAAGCATGGATTCTAATAAACTAAGGGCCACTAATGGTTCTGACTTCAGTCAGAAGAAGGCTTCTGCTATTGTATTAGACATTTCATTTTTTAAAATGTTTCTGGTAGGCTTCACTGCATCCCAAATACATCTGCACAGTGTCTGAAGTCCCTTTGAAAGGTAATACCACCTGTTGTAATGTCTATGATACAATAAAGTCTATTTCTGTTCTGCTGGTAATTGATTTCAGCGGACTATTCATATGAGAAGTGAGAGGAGGGTATGGTCCACAGTATGTAACCAAGTTATTTCAAAGTGATTGCTCCTTTCCATTGAAATAATTTTTAAAAAAGTAAATATTTACCTGTCATAGACAAATACAAGATTTGCAATATAACCATATATTATTTCTTGTATTAAACTATAGTTAGAAAGTAATATAGGAGGAAAGGCTATAATTTTCTGTATTTTTTCGTTTAAAAATCCACACTGGCCACAAAAACTGTTTTATATCCCCTGGATCACAGAAACTAGAACATGAATTCTTTGGTGCATAACCAATATGGATGTCAACTGCTTAACTAATAGCATGAGCAATAACTGAGATTAATATTTTGTAAGCATTGTGGAAAATTTGGAATGTGAAATAAAGGTAGAAACAGTAATCTGTATCTTATGTTTTTTCTTGATTTTATTTTGAACAAACTGACTCTCACACTGTGTACTTTAAATAAATTATCTTTTGTAGAAAGCAAATGTACAGCGCCAGAAAAGTTATATAAAGTACAGGATTTATTATACAGTAAGACAACCCAATGGTTGGAAACCAAGATAAAAAAACAGCAAGGGCATGTTTATATTGTATCTGCAGTTTTCATGGGTGAAGCATGGACCTCTTATCCAGTCCTGCTCTGTGCCATACCTGGAACTGAAGCAGTGAGCTGTCGTGGCAGCCCTGCTGCTGTTCTCAAGGTCTCTTTCTAAAGCAGTGGTTCTCAAACATTTCTAGATTCAAGGCACTCCTCATTAGAGGACCTCCTCATCAGAGGACTCAGAAAATGCTAGGTTTCACTTTTCTTGAAACCTGCAGAAAAGTTTTTTGACTGCAGAAAAGCAGTTCTCTTGGTGCAAAGTACTCAGAAAGACCACAACAGATCAGAAAGTTTTTGATGCTATGGCTTCCTATTTGGAATCTCTGGGTGCATCCAGATGAGTGTGGGTGTTTGGTTACCCAGAGACAAATAGCAGCAGCACACCTTGCCTTACCTGGGAGCCTCCAGGGGTTGCAGCAGCAGTGATTCTGCTGTGCGGAGCCTGACCAGCAGCTGGAGTATGACTCCGGGTGGCCTGGCTCTGCTTTTGAGCAGCACATACTGCCTGTGCATGCACTGTGCTGCTTTTTTTTTTTCCGGCTAGTTTTTTTTGACCCCTGAACCCAGGGGTCAAAAAAATCTGTGGGGGAAAAAAAGCATTGCAGTGCATGTACAGGTGGCATGCCTTTGCAGCAGTGCAGAGAACATCTAAACGTGTGGTATATAGTGCTGCAGACACATTTGCGGCATCACATACCACATGGCCATGCTTGGGCCTTTGGGTTTATCTTGTGAGTCATATGAATCACATGTAGGTGTTTGCACACCTAACAGTTGCTCATACCATGAAACACCCTTAAAAGAATCTCAGAGGACCCCAGTGTGATATGGCACCCTATTGAGAATCACAGCTTAGTGTGCTTGATAATGGTGGTTGGAGGGGTATTGTGAGAGTGGCTTTACTGCCTCTTTTCCAGGCATGGCACATACAAAGCAAAGGAGGATGGTTTTAAACAAAACGTTCCTTTCCTTTAACATGCAGAATTATTAGGTAAGCTGGCTGGGGATTTTTAGCAGGTTGCTTTTTCCTCTAATTGAAAAATCTAATTTGCCAAACCAAAAATTTTGTGGAGACATACTGGTCAGGGCACTCCTGGGGTGTGAGGGATCTAAATTATAGTTTTGTTATGTGTTGGGTGGAGCAAAGTGATTCCTCTAACCACCCCAAAGCTTTGAAGGGCTCTCATTCATTTTTTCCTTTAAAAGTATAGAAAGGTTGTTTATTCTTTAGCAGAACAAAAACTTCTCTTTTATGGAAAACAGAATTCTTTTTTTTCAGCCAGCCCTATTTATTAAAATGCTTTCCCCTTCTGTCGTGCTGTTGGAAGGTGCTCCCCTTTCCTCTCCCTAAAGGTTTTTCTTTTTCTGCAGCAGCATTATGAACAGAAATATTTCAGGTGCACACAATGAATTAAGTTCTTTTTAAGAAGTTTAGATGGGGGATGATTCTTACTAATATAATTTTAGAGCTGGGGAAAGTAAAGCACAGACAGATTAAAGGACTTGCAGAGTCACATAGGAAGTTACTGGCAGAGTCATGACTGGAACCCAGATCTTCTCACACCCAGACTTGCACAATAATTAATAAATTTTTTCATATGATAAAACACGTTTTTTGTATTATCCACATTTTAGATCATGTGCAGAAGCTGCTAACCATGCTTTGGTTCCATACAGAAAGCAGATTAATGACATCTCAGGATATTTAATATTCCTTGACCTTTCATTACTGAAGAATTTCTGATCACTTATTCAGACAGCTACAGATGATAATACTACATTTCTGAACATACTGTCTTTGCCAAATTAAATTTTTAAAGTTCACTTGCAATTTACCATGAAGTTTTTGAGTCATCTTGACATGTATTGTTAAGTGTAAACTGAAAACTACATTTACTGGAAAGGTCCGCTCAGAAATGAAATGACACATGCCAGATCCCTGACCTATAGGCACTTTATAAAATTAGAAGATGTCGATGATGCAATGCAGCTTCTGAAGGGAAAAAATAAAGAAAAAAAAACACTAATAGGAAATGTACCTCTAACATACCCAAAGCAGATTAGAAAATAGTGTTGACATACTTTATAGAGAGGAAGATAATAAGAGTATAAATCAGGTATGACTTATAAATTTAGGTACCCAAATTTGGGC